AAAGCGGGAGTTCATAATCCACTTGAATCAAACCGTGTAATATGATGTATTAAGAACCATGTAGTGTTATGAACGACCAAAAAAAAAAAAATAAAAAAAAATAAAAAAAAAAAAAAAACAAAAAACATCCCTGGATACAGCTACCCACATAGCTTTCATCTTCCTTTCTGGTCACAAAACCCACTTACTGGGCAAAAATTATGAGGCTTCCCACCTCTCCACAACACCCATCATGTTGGGTCCACTCCCTCCAAAAGCATTCCTGAACAGGCTTCCTAAAATGAACAGGGCTTGTGGCTTCTCTGATTGCTCAATTCCCTCTCTTTGATCTTTCACTGTGATCAGCGGTGAGTCAAAGGCCCTTTTCTTTCTTCACTTCATACAAGAGGCATGAAAAAAGTCAAGAAAGTCAGAAAGCTGAGGGGGATGATTCGGAGGCCAGGAGGTACACCACTGCATCTCAGGGGTACAGTGGGGCCCAATTAGACAGAGCCCTGGGGTCTGGGCACAAACGCAAGGCAAATCGCCACCTAGCAAAATATCCATGAGGTGACTCTCAAGTTCCCTGCTCTGACATCAGGAGGCTTCCAGAGGATTTCCTCTTCTCTTGTCAAACACTTCTTCCTCGAGTGACAGTAGGAACAAGGTCATGAACATGAGACCAGCTCAGGCACTCAGCTTGGAGTGAGACTGCCCTGGTGGCATCACTAGTCAGTACTCCCTCTTCCTAAGGAGAGGAAGCTGGAACCACCCATAAAGATGGAGGAGTACCCCAAGTCAAAATGCTCCTTGCTCGCCTATTGCTGCCTCTGCATTATGTCTGGGAGGACGGGCACTCAAGTTGCCCTCAGCAAAGAGCCTTTGGGCTCCCCTTCAGCCTGCAAATGGTCAACCCTCCATTTTTCACGTGCAGGCCCAGTTTTGTTTTTTCTCTCCCTCGGATAACATGAAAACACAGCAGAGGATAACCCGTCACAGAGCTTGTTTCCATTAGCAAAAACAAAAGGAAATGCCCTGCCTCAGAAAGCACCTACTGCTGTAACTACAGGGAGGCAGGGGCCAGGCACAGGGGGAGGTGACAGGACCACCAGGGTCTCTAGGCCAGCCATGGAGTGGGCTGGCACAGAAACAGTGCTAAATTGAAACCTGTTGAGACAAAGAAGAGAGAATGGAAGAGAGGAGGGGTGCACAGATGAACAGGACAGTGGACAGAACAGCACTGACATTACAAGGGTCACTTGGAATWTTGCCTTCTCCACTTACCAACCATGTAACTGAGGACAAATTACTTAACCTCTCTGTCTCTTCAACAGGAGAGTAAAGATAATAACGGTACTGCTTTAAATGCTTGTGAGGATCAAATGAGGCAATTCATTTAAACAGTGAACATAGTGCTTGGTACAAAGACAGTGCTCAGTTATCAGCTTTTATTATGATTAATCATTATGAGCAGAAGCCAAGGTTCATTCATTTAGCAAAGATGTGAGCTCACCACAGCTGCAGAACATAGTAGGAGAGAGCCAGGTCCAGCTCCCCACTGTACCACTTATTCCCTCTGTGACTGTAGCAGGTCACTTCCCTCTCTGTGCATCAGCTTCTTCAACTGTATAAGATGGGTAATATTAGTTGTGATTTTCATCTACCTGGCTTATAATGAATATTAATAAGCATCAGTTAGGATTGTTGTGATCTCTGCCCCAGGAAGACAACTCAATGTCTCTTCCAAGCTACAAATTTCTTGGAGAGACCAAGTGTGGCTCCCATGGTCATTAAACCAAGACCCAAGGCTCTGACACAGCAAGAGCCCCTGGGACTCCATGCTCATCTCCTCAGTGCACAAATCCTCAACAAATTATGTCTTTGTAGACAATGGGTAAGCAGCTGCCTCAGCAGAAATGTAAGAGCATGATGAGGAATCTACATTTTGATCCAGACTCTCTCCTCAACCTTTCTTGTTTAGTTTTTCCTCAAGGTCATCCCTGACCTTACCACATTTCAGAGTGAGGAAGAAAAGAAAAAGGAATAGTTTTACCATATATTGCACTGATTCCAAATGACAGTTCCCCTATAGTCCCACGTGATGCCTCTCCATGGAGCCCTGCACATGCTGCCCCCGCCCCACTCCACAGCAGGCCCTGAGGGTCACAGGCCAGTGGGTCACAGCTAGGTCTGGCCACTCAGGCTTCCTTCAAGATTCGGCCCAAATATTTGGTAATTCCTCAGTTAGGTGTGACCTGACGGCCCTCATCAGGGCAGCCCACCCTGACCCCCACCCCGCCATGCTGGAGGACACCCACATGTTCAGCCATCTGTTTCCACCTGCAGCCCAGCTGCTCCTTGGGAAGCAGCCTGTCATGGCACCCTCTTTGCCCACAGGGCAGGAGCTCAGAAGACATGTTTTGAATGACTGACCAAATAAAGGAGTAAGATGAGACTCTACAAAACCAGCCACAAAGAAGGAGAGGGACCAGCCCCTTCCCCGGTGCCTTCTACAGCATGCTTCCCCTCCACCTAACTATTTAGCAGCTCCTTTAAAGGGCCTTTGCCTCAGAGCAGCAGCTGGCAGCTGGCCTTGGCCTMTGTCCTTGCCAAGCATTCCAGGCACACCCAGAGCAGGAGGTATCCCAAACTATCCTCTGCTTGGGACAATTCCCAGCCACTTCCAGGCCAGATCAGGTTAATCCGTACCTCCCATGCCTTATCATGGTGCCTACACCCTCTCTGACTCTTCCCTTTCAGTCCTCATCAGCCCTAAGCAGAGGAGAAATCAGACAAATCCTTCTACACTTATGTGACTCCATGAGCACCTCCACATTTTAGATAACAATAGCCAACATTTACTGTTTACCATGTGTCAGGAACTGTTCTAAGTGCTTTACCTATATCAATACATTTAATCCTTACACTATAAYTATGCCCATATTAGAGATAAAAACACTGAAGCACAGAGAGGTTAAGCAACTTGCTAGGGCCACACAGACAGAAAATGGCAAAGGTAGGATTTGAACACAGGCAGTCTATAACTCACTGACTGTTGTGATTCCTGCTCTGCAAATGAGAAAACTGGATTAATGAGACAAAGAGTGTCAGTGGGGTACTGGAGAAGCTCTGGTAGGAGATAGGCAGCATGAATGCCTTCCCYKGCCAGAGGTCACAGAGCCAGGCCCTCACTTTATAGATGAGGAAACAGACATCCTGCAGGGGGAAAGCACCAGGGCAAGAACCCTCTGTGAACCAGTGCCCAGGCTGAGCTGGGATCCAGGTCATCCTTGCTACTCCAGTCCCACCTCGCCCCTATTTCCACCAGTTGTCTGAGCTCATATCTTCACTTTCCCTCCCCACAAAGTACTTTTCAGAGCAGTGATGAAGCCATTTTCTCCCAAGTCCTCTGGCTGGGCTGGCTGCTTCTCTATCTTAAAATACTCATTTAAGCTAATTTAGAGAGAGAGAGACACCGGGTTAGACCAAAAAACATCACCTTATTACTTTACTACCAATTATTACCTCGTTACTTTTTACTTATTTATACTTTAGTTATTATTACTTATTACCTTACTACTATTATTACCATATTGCTATTATTGCCTTATTACCTAAGCAGGCAATAACAATCTAGAGCAGAACGTCTTCTAATTATCCAAATTTGTAAATACTTTATACTCTACAGGGAAAAAGTTATTAAATAATGACGAAAAGAGAAGAAAATAGGTTCTAATCAGATAGCTCTATGACCTCCCCTCTAATCATCTGATACTAAAATTATTTTGCACTTACTGTTACTGACCAAAACTCATTCAGCTCTCTGGACTCTCACTGGACCCAGCATATAACCACTGCACTGCCCACTCTACTCTGGACTGGAAAAACCAGTAACAAAACAGAGTGGCTGTGCATTCCAGCACACATAAAATACACTTCCACTAAAAAAGGGAGGGGGAGGATTAAGCCAAATGGATATAGAAATTGTTATCACCCAGAAGATGATCTCAGGGGCCAGAGACAAGGCAGGCTCTGCAAGACTCAATGCATTGCACCTCAGATGCTCTGCTGACCTGCACCCTGACCCCGGTGAGCATGCTTCACCACACGGAGCTAACATCCAACTCATGCTATAGCCCCAGCTTAAAGTTTATGTCCTGAAACCAACTTTCCAAGATCCCTTCCTCCATCCAAATGCAGCTCCCAGATTCTCTCTCACTGGGACATGTTCTTTTCCTTCAAAGGACTTATCACAATTTGTGCACAGACATTATTGGTGTGCTTCGTTTCTGAATGCCTTCTTCACCCTTGGACTGCAAACTCCCTAAGGGCAGGCAATAGGATCAGCCCTGTTCACTGCTGCTACCACAAGTGCTAAACAAAATGCATGGCAGATAATGGGAACTCAAACATTTAGATTGAACTGAGAGAATACACAATTTTCAATTCAGCCTCTCAAATACATAGATCTTGGAAAACGGGGTGATATTCTGGAAAAGGGAAATAGTTTTTTTTTTTTATTTTTGTCACTACAGAGGTTTCAGCTTCAAGTAAATATGAAGTTTTATGCTAAAAAAAAAAAAACAGAAAAACCCTTCTTATGAGATGGAAGATGACCTGGAGATGGAGAGGTCACCCAAGTTCCTGATTCTTCCTTCATGAGATACTGAATCAACATGAATTAAAAATTCTTCACTCCCAAAGGCTGGGATTGTGGTTCAATGTGACTTGTAGAGTGCTTGCCTAGCACATGTGAGGCACTGGGTTCAATCCTCAGCACCACATATAAATAAATAAACAAAGGTATTGTGTCCAACTACAAAAGAAAAAAAAAAACACTTTAAAATTTCTTCACTCCTAGAACCCAGAGTTATCCTGGCTTAGTGGTTAAGAACATGGCTGCCCATGCCAACCAGGCAGGAGTTTAGGGACCAGCTGGCCCACCTACTGGCCATATGACCCAGGAAGGCACCCAGTCTCTCTGCGGTGTTGGTTTCTTCTTCAGTGACCCCTGAGTTGTGAGGGTTAAATGAAACAATGCTAGAAAAAGGCAGGTCCCAAGCATGCAATTCACTGATAGGCTCACCTGCACATTCTCTTCGGTCACCTCAATTTCTGCAGTATAGATGTAATCAATCAGCTTCCTAAGCGTATGCCCATCCACATCTTTGATTTCAATCTTCTTGGCTTTACTCTCAGACATGTCACCTGCAGTTCACAACAAGAACAAAAAGGACACAAATCTGGCACCTATGGTATAGTTAACTTCTAAGAGGCCTCCTGCCTTGTCATGGAAATAGGAAAACAGGGCCTGAGCTCTGCGAAGCAGAAGGAACTGAGGTTGAGAGTGTAAGCCACTGATGAGAAGGCCACATAGCCTTGAGTCTCTGACCACCCACAAACCCCATCTTAACCATCCCCTACTTTTAGTGTGAAGGCAAATCAATGTGCAGTAGCTCATTCAACCAATGTTTACTGCAAACTTGTACACATAGGGCCATGAACAAAACCTGCACCTGTGCTCCAAGAGCACAGGTTCTAGTAAGAGATACATAAAAAGATTTATAAAAGAATAAGAACTTGGGGCTGAGGTGGTGGCTCAGTGGTAGAGTGCTTGTTTAGCACATGTGAGGCCCTGGGCCCAATCCTCAGCACCACATAAAAATAAATAAATAAATAAAGGTATTGTGTCCTACAACTAAATTAAAAAAAAAAAAAAAAAAAGAATAAGAACTCAGCAAAGGTAAGTACAAAGTACCAAAATGACAAGAAAAAAATAACACTTGTTGAGTGCTAATGAAACCCCACTTTAAATTGTTGCCTCCTTCAATCCACATAACCACCTATTGGGCTTATTAATATTATCCCCATTTTACACGAAAAGAAAATGAGACACAGGAGGGAAGGTAGTTCATCTTGCCCTTGGTCACACATGTAGGAAGGGACCAGGATGGGGTGAACGCCAGGGAGTCTGATTTAAGAGCCCACGTTTATAACCACTATGCTAAATCCCACGAATACGGAGAAAGTGCAACAAACCCCACCTGGGAACTCCAGAGAGGCAGTAGGGGATCACAATTGAGCTGGGCATTAGAGGATGAGCAGGATATGGGCCCCATATGGATACAGGGAAGAAAATACCAGAAGGATACATCAGGGGAATGGTGAGAGGCTGCTGTGGCTGCACACGGGTCATGGTGCGAAGAAGGAAGCTCAAGAGGTGGTTGAGGGCAGGACTTGCAGAGCCCTACAAGTTGTGCAAATGAACTTGGACTTCATCCAGAGGCCAGCACCACTGAGAGGTTTTAAACAGGGGAATGACATCAACAGATGGCTATTTCTGAATGAAATTTTGGAAGCAGGGAGGAAGCTGGATCGACTCAGGGAGAACAGTTGGGAGGCCCTGATAATAAAACAAGAAATAAAGGATACAGGGCTATGAACAAGGGTTGTAGCAGCAGCARCACATTCCTGCCTGCACTATAAAGACAGCACTTAGGTTTCCCTAGTGCCAGTTTCCTCCAGCAAGTGCTGATTTCAGAAGGAAACAGAGAGCACATGAAATAAAGGACAACCTGACTGCAAAAAACAAGTCACTCAGAAGCCCTAACGTGAGTGGTAAAACAGCCTRGGCAGTTGTTTTCAACCAATGTTTACTGTGGAATTCAAGGAACTGAAGCCAAGAAAATAAAGTACAGTACAGCATGTGGGTTGCAGACACCCACCTCCAAGCTGCTCGGACTGCACATGATTCCTCTGACACAGTTCTAGATCTGAGTGACTGTGGAACAGGGAGGCAAGTGGACAGCAGGAGTGATTTCCAAATCCTGCCCACTGGCTTCACTGCCAGACCAGGAGGACCAGAGACCCTCTCTCTACTTTGTTCTCTCTTCTCTAACTGCTATGGAGACCAGTGAAAAAGGTCCCAGCACAATGAGCCCTGGTGCAGGATGAAGGGGAAACAGGAAAAGATGGTAGATTCTTCCTACACCCATAAGCTAGGTTCGCAATCTCTCAAATTTATGCTGAGACACACAAACAAAAACAAGCATAGACAAAGAAATCAGTGGTTAAATTCTCACTCTCTCCCTCTCTCTCAACAGCTAATAAGAAGTTCATTAAAGGGCTGGGGTTGTGGCTCAGTGGTAGAGCACTCACCTAGCATGTGTGAGGCCCTGGGATTAATCCTCAGCACCACATAAAAATAAATAGATAAATAAAGGTATTGTGTCCATCTACAACTTAAAAAAAAAAGTAGTTCATTAAAGAGSGTCCAATTGGTAAATATACTGCAAAAGATAATCAAATAGAGCTAATTCTTGGTTTAAGATCTTAGACTTACAAAATGATACTGAAAAAAGCAGCAGGCTGACTATAAGAACCAAGAGGCTGAGAAGCCCTCCTGTAAGAGTGCAACTGGAACCTGGGCTGATTGGTTTCTGGGGTGGACTTTGTGCTTGGGGGTCAGGTGAGGGGTTTATAACTTTGAGGTAAACAAAGGGAAACTCCTGAAATTGTATAAAATATTTGTATACATACACAAAAGTATTTTGTTTTTTTCTGAAAGGAAGATGGATCATTTAAAAAAAWTTTTTTTTAGTTGTACATGGTCTCAATGCCTTTATTTGTTTTTATGTGGTGTTAGGATCAAACCCAGTGCCTCACACTTGCGAGGCAAGTGCTCTACCTCTGAGTTACAACTCCAGCCCAAGACAGATCATTTTTACCAGACTCTTAACAGGTTTTCATACTCCACAAAAGATTAGTACACTGTTTTCTGAACAGTGGGACTTATATGGACCTTTTCTTGCTTCTTTGCATAACTCTGAAATTTTTCATTTTCTACATTAAGCACCTAAAATTTTAATAAGTTGCCCAAAAAAATGACACCATAAAAGAAAAACTAGGGGTTTGAATGACAGTTATCTTCTAAGAAAGCTCTCTTAGAGACTGGTATAGGTCACACAGACTTATAGAATCCAATCTTATTGCTTCTTGTGAATCAGCAAAAACAATTACACCAAATTAAGATTTCAGTTTAAACAGGCCCTAAAAATGGGAATAGTTATAATCACTACTCTGTACCATCCCCTCTATTAAGGGTTCATGCACATTATTTCATTGAATTCTCCCAACAAACCCTGAAAGTGGATAATTGCTGCCACTTGACAAATTATAGAACTGGCACTTTAAGATATATTTGCATGTAGACAGTAGGGAGCAGAGCTGGGATTGGAAGCTGGGCCTAACTCTGTATCCTGAATCATTTCTAATAAACCCCTCTATAATTTAAATATGACCCTAACCATGACCTTAATAAACACATTCCCAAATTCAAAGCATCGTTCCAAATTCTGGAGACAAGATAGCACTTAATATATTTCAAGCAAGAACCTAATGGGCCAGGACCTTGCTAGGCTTATTAGTAAAGATATCCTCAACATGTAATAAAGTGTTTGGCATAAAATAAGCACTTTGAAAATTATTATTGGAGTCAGAGGAAAAAAAAGGAAGAAGGGAGGTTTTCTCTTGAYATCTCAAGTCCATGGGCTTCAATACCTCCTGAGGGGTAGAAACAATCAAGGGCTTGATCATTTTTGCTTCTTCACACACATCTAACAGTTTGACAAAATATTTCTAGAAAAGAGAACATGCATTCCATAAGTTTTTTCCATCTCTAACATTAATACAAGAGCCCTGCTCTGCTAGTTCTTCACAAGGGGCCCTAGCAGCTATCTCAGGATCTGAACTTTCAAAGATGTACATCAGCTGCATATCCTTTTGGCACTTGCCATCTTCCACTTGTTGTATGTAAATATACATGTTCTCTAAATCATTTTCTCCAAACAGAACAAGATCCACTCAGGGTAAGACTGATTCATTCATTCAGCAAGCATATATCAAATGTGCCTCCGTGAGCTAAGCACTATGCTAGGCCCAGAGGACAYAAAGATGACCAAGTCCTCACCCTGCCCTCATGAACCTGTCTAGCAGAGAAGAGACAAGTACTCAACAACTACAAAGAGTGTCAAATGCAAGAATAGGAGACTCTGCTTGAAAAGTTCTTCAGTCAGGGATTCCTGCATCCTAAAGCTGTGTGCAAAGTGATAAACACATGGGAGCACATGCCTGCTTTTCTAGGGAGAATCCATTGTTCTCTTTGGATTGATTCACAGTAGTTAAGAACAACTGCTCTGGAGGAGTTACAATTATTCAGGAGAGAAGTGAGAATGAGGGAAAAGCACTCCTAAGAGAATAGTATATGGAAAGGTCTGGAAGTAAGAAAGAACAAGGCCTGCTGGGAGCCATAATAAGTTCAGTCTAGCTGGAGCACAGCTTGCAAAAGGAGGGAGAGTGAAACAAAGCTGGAGACAGAGGCAGGGTCTGGACCAATTGAGGGTCTTGCAGCCCATGCTAAGGAGTTCAGACTTCATCTCAAAGGTAACTGGAAGCCCCTGACAGGTTTTAGGAGGCGAGGGATACATCAGATTGCTATTTGGGGGAAACATATTTGTGGAAAATGAGTTGGGATGGACAAACAGAAGTGGAAGCAGGTTAAACAACTGGAAGACTGCAGCAGAATATCAAGTAGAAGATGCTACGGCCAGGTCTAAGGGACAGTGTCTTAAACTTCTTTAAATTATTGGACCCTACCTTAGGGTCCTCCAAGAACCAAAGAGATCCCAGGAGAGCAAATAATTCCACACCTATCAAGATGAATGCTACAGTCATGTATAACTAAAAAGAACCAATTAAAAAAAAAAATTCCACACCTCTATCAGGTACAAGTGTTCAAGTCTTAATCCTAGATCCTAGCAAGCATACCATGTGTACAACTGAGATCTTTATAGGTGAAAAATTGCCAAAGAAGAGCAAGAAGGAGGAGGCTCAACTTGAGGAGTAAAAGGAAAAAATATTTTACCATCACTGAAAATTCAAGAAATCTGGAGGAAAACAAATCACTGACTCATCATCCAGGTCACTGGTATAAACTCAATGCTATTATTAAATAAATGAAGCCCTGAGAATGGGAAAGCAATGGTAGATTGGCTGGCAGGTCTCTCTGACGAACCAAAGCTAAGCCACCAGGCCCCTACAAAACTGGATGTCCTCAAAGAGAAGAAAAAGGTGCACTCAAGAGTTCTTACATTATGGAATTCTTCCTCATTCCCAATTTGGCTCTTCTGTGCTGCAATTTATAATCTTGT